GAACAATCCTTTGATTTTTTTTGGTACAGATTTCTAGAGGTAGAACGGTTGAGTTAAAGAATATAAACCCTTTTGATGGAAAATGTTACAAATTGTGTAATTATCCTCAGACAAGTTACAGAATTTTTTCAGACTACCAGTAGTGTGTGACACTACTCATTTCTCCATACCTTCTCTAAGTTTACAACTTATCATGTTAAAATTATAAATTTTATAATTATGAATTTTAAAATATTTTATGTTAAACTATCTTTATTCAGCTGGTGAGCAAATATTAGTTTAAATTGTTATTTTGTTGACTACTAGTGAGACTGAAAGTTTTTTCATATATTTCAAATATGTATTGACCATTTGTGTTTATTATTTTAAATAGTATTTTCAGATGAGGAAACTTAGCAGATGAGGAAACTGCTAAGAGGTAAAATGATTTGTTTAAGCATACACAGATTCTAAGAAGAAGATAACTTTTTTTTCATATTCTAAAATGAAATAGGATTGTTCTTCAGTTTGTCAGAGTGAGCAATAAAACCTATAGAGCAAAGTTCTGTTTAATCCAAGAGTTCAGAGACATCTAATATATAAGACTCTTCAGGCCAAATCATCTTTATAAAATATTGGTTGGAGAATTATTATGAAGATTTAATGAACTACAGTTATTTTACTCTTTAACTTATCAGTTTCAGATAAATTAAATCCAGATCAAGATTAGGAGATAAAGAAGAGACTGTTAAAAAGAGTGTCTATGTTGACAGCATCCTTCTTATCATCCATTGGTCATGAATGGCTACACAGTTGTAGATGCTGAAGGAGACTCTGGTACCCCATGACCTCCTTCTCCCCATTACCACATCATGAGGACAAAGCAGCCAACTGAATATGTTTTACAATGGTAGAATGCAACCAGCAAACTGTTTCCAGGGATGCACAGAAGCTGATACCTGATTTTGTTTCTGAATGCCTTTTTTTTTTTTTTTCATTTCTATAGCAATTGACATGTAAAACCAGGCTGTTACCTGCTGCTTTAACCTTGTATGGCAAAGTCAAAGATTTCTTTCTGTAATAACTAACAGAAGAGTTCATGAGCCAACAATAATAATAATAACAAAGAATAACAATAAAGGAAATGCTAGAGTTACTAAAATGTTTTTTTTTTAATACTTAAAAAACCACACTGGCCAAATTTAATCTAATAAGAACTGACCAAAGATGTATTTCAGCAAGAGAAAGGAATTTGAGGAACCTGGAAAAGGGAGATGTTAACATTCTTTTGGGGGAAAGGAAAACTCCTAACAATTCTTTCTATTTGACTTTAAATTCGTATCCCAGGAAAGTGAAGTTTTTGTTCCTGGATCTGAGGGTTCAAGTTCCCTCAAGAAAAGGAAAATGCCTCTTAACACATGTCCAGTTTGAGATCATTTGTGTTCATGACTGTCCCAGAAAGTCAAATAAAATTTAAGCACTAGGGGTTTCTACCCTACCTCTTCCCCAAAGTGCTGCTTCCTATACCATTCCTCATTTTAAGTAAGTAAATCATACAGAATTAGGCGCCAGTAGCAGAAATGGAGTCAGAAATGTGAGAGTTCAATCACTGTCCCTATGAAATGCATGCAGTTTCCAGTGGAGCATAGCATGTTAGGACATCTTAGTTACGGATGGCTGGGTTCTTGAAGGTCTTGCATAAAATAAAATTCACATAATTCAAGAGTAATTTTCCCACAACAATTCTGTATTTGTTCCTTAGATAAGAGGCAGAAGTTTAAGGCATGGATTGCTGCATTTAGTTTGAGGCAGACTACCTAGTCCAATCCTTGCTCCTCCTCCTACTAATGAAGAGAACTTATGCAAGTTACTTAACCTCTTCTTGCTTTAGATTCCTCAGCTGTAAAGTGAAGTTGATGATAATACACAAGATCTCATTTGATTAATTCTTCAAATGGCTCCATGAGGTAGCAATAGTCCCTATCTCATTCAGTTGTTGCGGGGATCCTAATAAGTTAATATGTGTAGAGTGGTTTAAAAAGATGCCTAGCACATAAGTGCATTAGAACTATTTGCTTACTAATTATTTTTTATTACCAGCTAAAGAGGAACAGCCATGTAGCAATAGCATAAATGCAGTTTATAATTCACTTGGCCCACCCACTTTGAACTTTTTAGATTTATTTAGGAGATTTCCATTATTTCAAAATGAGTGTATATATTTAGACTTTTTTTATGTGGCACTATTTTAAATTTCTATAATTTAAATAAGCAACAAACAGATGTATACTATATGGGCTTTGGGCATGAATGTGCAATAGATTTAGGGTTCATTGCAATTCTAAAGGGCAATTGCTATCAATCAATATACAAGTGTTCTTGTGCTTCTGAAGTGGTTCTGGATATATACACAAAAGGCAACGAGAGAGAGGGTTGACTCAAAGGAAAACTAATGATAATAATTCTTGTGGTCTAGACACTGGTCTAAGTCTTTTTAAAATTTTTACATATATATTTAACTTTATTGTTGTTTTTTAGAGCAAGGAAAGGGGAAAGAAAGAGAGAGATGGATAGAGAGAGAAAGAGAAAGAGAGAGAGAGAGAGAGAGAGAGAGAGAGAGAGAGAGAGAGATCGGTTGGTTGCCTCTTGGACCCACCCCACCACCAGGGATTGAACCTGTAACCTGGATTTGTGCCCTGACGAAGAATTGAACCCACTACCTTTTGATGTATGTGACAACGTTTCAACCAATTGAGCCACTGGGCCAGGGCTGGTTTAAGTATTTTATACGCATTGTATTCAATTCTCACAATATCTCCATTTTACAGATATAAAAACTGAGACAAAATGTTTAAGCAACTTGCCCAGGTCACCCAGCTGGTAAGTAGTGGTGCTAGGATTTAAACCTAAATATTCTACTCCAAAAACCGAGATGTACTTTTCTTACTATACCTCAAAAAGTTATGATGTAAAAAGTTCGTTTTGGGTTGTCCTACTTTTTTCGCTCTTCAGGGTTTGTTTACTTCTTTTTTTAAAAAAAATTCTTTATTGTTGAGAGCATTACATATGTCCCCTTTCCCCCATTGGGATCTGTTTACCAGTACTTCTTAAATACTGCCATTACAACTGTAATAGCATGGGTATGCTAAATAAACATTTTTGAAAATACAGAAAGATAGAAAGCAAAAAGAATCAATAATGATATTATCACTCAAAGATGACCGTTGTTAAATTTTTGGTGCATGTCCTTCTAGACATGTTTCTAAGTTTGTGGTTTTGTTTTACATGTTTGCTTTAAGTTGTGATCAAATTGTATATACAATTTTAATCTTCCCCCTCAAAATACTATAACATGTGGTTTAGAAAGTTCATAAAGTTCCTTATGAGCTTTATAGGCTGCATAATGTACCATCCCATGGCAGTTCCATAATATATTTACTATTCCTTTCATGTTGGACATCTGAGTACTTCCAGCTTTTTGACTCTGGGATGAAAATCTATGTCCCCCCTCTTTCTTAATTACCTTTTTTTGGCATTTCCTCAGACCTTCCTCAGCACACAGTGACCTTGATATCCCACTACCCTTCCTTCTCTTTCTGGAAAGAAAATTCATTCATACTAAAGTGTATATGGTTTGTGACACTTGGTGTATTATCTCTTCAAAGATAACTGTATCAATTTAAGCCAAAAAAATGAAGTTCTAATTGTGAGGTTTTAGTGACCAAAAAAAAAATCTAGCTGGGGAGATCCTCCTACTTCCCCAATCAGAGAGTAGACTCTACAATAGCAAAAAGGTTCAGGGCTTACCTAAGGTTAGTAAATCTGAAGAGAAGGCAGCCAGAGCTGTGAAGGTGGAGATGAGGTGAGAGGAGGGAATGAATTTGTATAACCAACAACGGTGAAACACTGGCTAGAAGAATGGAAGAGAACTAGGAAGTTGATTCCGCAGTACAGAGTAAATTTGGGATCACTTACCTAGTTTCCCCAACTCTCTGCCTTTCCAATCCATTTGGCCTTAGGGAGTGGAGGGGCCGGCCCACTCCTCAGAACCGGATCTCAGTCCTAACCACTCTGCCAAGACTCACAGTTTTGGGGCCTTTGTCAGCCACAGAACCACTCGCAAGGAGGAAAAGTAAAGTTCTAAGAGGGCCCATTCCAAGACCTGGGTCCACAGATGGTCTTGTTGGACCTTCACCTCCTCGCCACTCAACGAGGAGACTTAATAGTACCTGGGGCCAAGGGGGCGAGGGGATCCCCTATGAAAGTCCAGGTCTCTTCCTTTCCCTCCTCCTGGAGGCTGCGTGGGAAAGCAAAGGGGACCCACGAGGGAACTCAGTTTCCCCCAACTCCTCCTGCCCAGAAGAGCGCCACGTTCCCCAGGGATGCGCTGGCAATGGCTGGTGAGGAGAAAGGGGACCGGAAGGGGTGCGCAGGGTCAAGGCCAAATCAAAGGGGTCAGTGGCTCCTCCCGCTCTGGATTACTCCGAGGAGGGAACCCTAAATGCGAAAACCTAGCCTGACCTTTCTTTTCTTTTCTTTCTTTTTTTTTTTTTTTAAGGCGAGACATTCCGCGAGAAGGCGGGGCCCCGCAAGTCCCCGGAGGAGCTCCGGGGCTGCAGCCCAGCGCAGGGCGCGCTCCCACGGCTGGCTCCCCGGCCCCGCGGGCGCCGCACACGCACCGCCCGCCTCCCGCTGCCCGCTCCGCCCTCCTCTCTCGCGTGTTGGCACGCGCGCCGCCCAGGAGGAGCCGGGCGCCCCGCCGCGCAGTCACCGAGCAGCAGGCGCAGGAGGCGCGGCCGCACTGATCTCAGGTGGCGGCGGTGACAGCGGCGGCGGCGGTCACGGCAGGCAGCGCACACCCTCTCCCCGCACCGCTCCCGACGCCGCCGCGTCCCGCCTCCTCTCTGCGCCGCGGAGCCCCGCCGGCCCCCGGCCCCCGGCCCCCCGCGGCCCCGGCGCGCACCCCCGAGCCCCGCGCGCTGTAGCGGCCGCCCCGGCGGCCCCGAGCCCTGCCGCCCGCCATGAAGAAGCTGGCGAGGAAGGGATGCGACCCCAAGCGCTTCCTGAAGAACAACTGGCTGCTGCTCTCCACCGTGGCCGCCGTGGTGCTAGGTGAGCGGGCGGCGCGCGCGCCCTCACGCGCCCCGGCGCCCAGGCCGCGTGCGGGGCGGGCGGGCGGGCGGGTGCGAGGGTGGGCCGGGCGGTGCGCACCCAGTGCCCGGGTCCCCGTGGCTGCGGACCGACCCCACGCGGGAGCTTGCCTCGCCCACGATGTTGTTTTGTGCACGGGAAGAAGAACAAAGCTCATTGGAGCTCCCATGTATGGGTGCCCCAGGAGCTGAGCTGCCGGGTCCTGCTTTACCCCCCCCCCCCCCCCAAAAAAAAAAAAAAAAAAAAAAAACACGATCAAAAGGGTTTGGAAGGGGAAAAAGGAAGCAAGTAGCTCTCGGTTCTCCCCCAAGTGGAAACAAACATGGGGGAGGGGGTGTTGAATGGTATCTGCTCTCCAATTTTTGGTCTGAACCACGCTACCTGGACAGAGATGTGGATTACAGTTCCCATTGGACTGGACGGCCAGGCCGGTGGGGTGGGGTGTTGCCCCTGCTTCCCAGGGGGCAATGTCTGGAAAGGTGCCTTCCTAGGCAGCGAGCACGAACTGACTGCTGGCACCCCGGTTCTGAAAACCTGCCACATTCGTGCCAAATTCGGGGGTGATGGGAGTGGGGAGAAGAGACCTACCTAGCAGAACTCTGTTTTCCCCCTTCTCTAATCCGCAATTGTGTAGACATCGGCTCCCTGACCTTCCTTACTCTCCACACTGTTCTTCTACTGAAAATAATTTTTCAAGTCATATTTGTTTGTTTTTCAATAAAAATGTATTGAAGTGATTCACGCCTGGCAGATCTCTGGACTGGGTGGATGTCTGAGCCATTGCTCAGAGGTATGAGTTGTTCCTGTTTGGGCTCTGGATTTCTGCCAGGTTGTCTGTTTTACAACTTGGGCTCTGGGGATGCTCCTCTTTGAGTTGGAGCCAGCTCTGTCTCCTTCACTCTGAGTTCTCACAGGTGAGGACACACAGGAGGCGAGACTCCTTCTAAGTCCCCACCTTCCACTTGGAAACAGAAGCTGGGACCCTCCCTCTGGCAGGTTCAGGAGTTGAGTGTCAACCTATGAACCAGGAGGTCTTGGTTTGATTCCTGGTCAGAGTGCAGTTGGCATCTCAGAATATTTGGTGTTGCTCGCTCCCTCACATAACCCTCCAGAAACTTGTGCAAAGTAAAGTCAGGTTTCTAGTAAATAAGTTATCGTTCTCTGTCTTAGCAGAGGCCATTTGTGGGAGGAAAGCAGAGAAGTAGAGAACCAAGTCTTGACCACTTAACTCTACTGTATCTCCCCCCTAGAAAGGTCAAGTGGCTTCGGACAGTTTTAGGGAAGATTTCTCTTTCCCCACCGTGTTCAAATGACACTTGTCGCAAAGACAGTGATTAGAATTCCCTGCGGTCAAATAGATGAGAGGATCTTGATTGTTTTCTTCATGAAGAGAGTCCAGAATTGATGCTATCTCTGTTTAAGGACATTTTTCAAGGGTAAATTTCCCTCCCAATTCCCTGTGGAAGTGGAATCCTGCTTTTTCAGCCATGGGGTTCTCCAGAGAGACTCGCCTGTTAACCGAGTGTTGCTGGCTTGGAAAGGGTTTTGAGCAGTTGTCCCCTGGCCTTTAGAGCCTGTTGCGTAGGTACATCTTTGGAGTCAAGAAGGATTGCTTGCCTATTTTGCAAACCTGGCATTTGGTCCCGATGGTCATTTCCCCTTCACTTCTAATGTGAGTGAGCCCAGGATCTTGATTCAAAACCCACCCCCCCCCCCCCCATATAAAAATTGTAAAGGCCCAGCTGAAGTCTTCCTAGACATTCGCTCCTCCAGGAGCAACATAGAGGAGTTCCCTAGTGTTTCTGCTCCTGGTCTGAGGAGTGTCAAGCCTGGGCCACCCCCAGTGTACCCATCCATCACAGGCACTTCCCGAGATCCTCCTTTTCCCCCCTTTCTTCGGAGCACTGGGCCTGTGTGGACATTACTAGTACACCTGTTTATGCTGTCTCATTAGTTTAACCAGAAGTGAAATTCCAGCCAACTTATAGCAGTGACACAGAGTCTATTCCTAAGAACTTACTAGTTCATGATATTAAGTTTATTTTTATGATCTTAGTTGGTACAGAAAATCACAAATACTGTCATGCAGTTTCCCTTCTGGGCCTTTTAGCACATGGATCTTAAAGATATATGAACTCTTAAATAATGAAGGGCTGATTGCATCCATTAAAATGTTGGTCCCTGATGTAATTCAGCAGCCTTGACAACATTCAAATATTTTTATTATTAAAATGAGGGGCAAAAGTATGAAGCAGCTTAAAGTCTTTGATTTTTCAAGACATAGTATATCTTTATTAGGTGTGAAAGTTCATTCTTTCCATGGACAAAAAGATACTAACTGCTGAACATTTTTCTCAGATTCTTAGTCAGGAGATAATGGGACTGTATAGTTAAATAACCAAATTTGTTAATTTCTGTGAAAGCCTACAAAGTCCTAGAAATAATATCTTGGCTATTCAAGCGAGAAGCCTTTACACAAAAACTATTACGGACAGTTTTCGTTGCCTTCGTGGCAGTTCTTACAGGCTTTATCGTGCTTCTGTGGTGTAGTAGAATGAGCACAGAGCCTGGGGTTGATAGTGCTGGATTTGAACTCTGGCACTACCAGACTCTACCATTTAGCCAAATCTCTCATTCTCTGGGATCCTCAATGTCCTCATCTGGAAAATAGAGGTATTTTTCATGACTTCATTTGTTATTAGGGTTGATTAATATAGTGTGAAAACACACAGTTGTAGCACAGAATAAGCACTTCATAAGTGTTATCTTAAGATAAATCACAATAATTTTATTTTGAGGAAGTTAATATTTTCTTACGAAATAAAGTCTCCTGGTATTTCTGTTCTGCTTCGTATCTGCCTTATACTACAGAGTCCAAGGTGATCCGAGTGTTTGATGGCATGCTGTATCTAAGGCCCAGGAGTGGAGAACCTTTTTTGTCTGCCAAGGGCCATTTGGATATTTATAACATCATTCCTGGGCCATACAAAATTCTCACCTTAAAAACCAGCCTGCTATATTTGGCCAAACATTTAATTAACTCGCCCTTAATGCCTTGGCAGGGCCAGACCAAATGATTTCTCGGATCTTAAACAGCCCATGGGCCGTATGTTCCCCAAATACCAGCCTCCGGGGCACTATTCATTTTTTTTTAAAGGATATTTTTTAAATGATTCTTTAAAAGACTTATTTTGTCTTGTGCCCCATATCTCGATTCTCAATTCATTTAACAGGCTGAAACAGTGAGGGAAGAATTTTTGTGCTTCAAGAGGGAATTCTGTTCACACAGAATCGCGGGGTAAGAACGCTGTGCCAGGGCATTCTAATTCCGGACACCCAATACTCATATTGGGCCTAATGTTGGTAAAGCACTCAGGGGTCCTCACCCCGTTCACAGCATAAAGCCTGGCCTTTCTGTCCAGACAGGTTGTGCTTTATCTCAGTCATTGGGAAAATCTGATTTCTAGCTAACGGATTTTTTTTTCCCCCAGGAAAGGAAATAGATGTTACTTACACCACAGAGCTAGCAAGCTTATTTATTCTGAATAATTTTCTTTGGAGTGCCCAAGGAAGCAATCCTTTCTAGATTCAGATTCCATTGTCTACAACCAAGAACGGTTCTTAGGAATACCCTTGCCTCAGCCTTGCACTTCCTGCACTGGAATTCCTGTAGATGCATATCTGGCGGTGCTGATTTGAGTCACGGGATATGCTTTCTTGCTCTGCCTGTTTTTATGTGTCTGTGAAACCCCTGAGGACAGGGGTGAGCCGCAGCTCAGGCTAGTTCCAGGCCCAGCTCATCACCTGCGCGGAACCTTGTGTACCGCAATGTTCAAAATAGATCTTGTTTTTCAGGAAGCTCATTTGTTGTGGCAGAACCCAGGCCTGGTCCTGCTGGGCCTCTAACCAGCTAGCTCAGCCTTGGAATGTGCCTGCAATAACCAACACTTAAATCTTTCATTCATTCAACAAGTATATATTAGGCACCTACTGTATGCCAGGGACTGTTCTCGGGCTAGGGCATACAGCAGTGAACAAAACAATAAAAACCCTGTCCTTCTGGAATTTACATGTAAATGGAGAGAGGTAATTTATTCAGTAAACAGAATAAACTGGTAAAAGACAATAGAGTTTATTAGAGGGTGAGCATGCTCTAAAGCAGTGGTTCTCAACCTTTATATGCCGCGACCCTTTAATACAGTTCCTCATGTTGTGGTGACCCCCAACCATAAAATTATTTTTGTTGCTACTTCATAACTGTAATTTTGCTACTGATATAGTAATGTAAATATGTGTTTTCTGATGGTCTTTAGAACCACAGGTTGAGAACTGCTGCTGTAGAGCCTAAGACCATTTGAGCAGAGAAGCGACTTGGTCTGGTTGTATTTTAATCAGCTCTCCTTGGCACCTTTTTTATCATAAACTGCATTGGCAAGAGCGGAAAAAGAGATACCGGTTTAGGAGGCTAGCACAGTTAACCTATGTATGTATTTTACTTGTTACCCTCGTCTAATCTCATTTCCATCATGGCTAGTGAAATCTTAGGAAATGCTTATGGAAAAAAAGTGTGCAATTATAACGTAGCCATTGTTGCGATTATATAGATGAGAAAACTGAGATTCAAATAATAATTGGCAACACCGGATGGTCCTGTTCCTTCCCTTCTCCTCCTTCAGGCTGCTTCTCCTCTTATGTCTTGCACCCCATCTCCTTGCTGATCCACCTCTGGCTGAGTGCTGAGGTGGAGTGGGGAGTAGGAGTCCTATACCACGCACTGAGACTGAGAAGGGGCAGCAGTGTGTCTCCACGGGACTCTCAGAAAGGCAGTGGAGAAACATCGCTCCAGTGGCATTTGATGAGCAGTCTGGTCTCCACTCCGGGCTCAGACCTACCCTTATCCCTCTGCCTATTAGGCTGCCTTGCTTTTCTTTCCGCCTCCAAATTCTGCCCTTCCTACCTTT